ATATATAGCATATATATTAATTATTGAAAATTTGACGTAAAATCTAACTTTGGAAACACACCTTATTTTGCCACAATACTTTTATATTAATTTATTGATAAATGAAACTATTAAATAAAATAATTTAACATAAATTGTCAGAACATTTATTGCTTGTAATAAAGCTTCAAATTTAACGATATCACTTATATCATGATCGGCAAGTGATCGACATTGTGATATAATGCATGTCCGCCCTGTTGGCCATTTGGCCGTAGCAAAAATAGCCAAAAAAATCTTGGCCACGGCCAAATGCCAACACTGATATACACAATCAAAATAATGGTAATGCTTCTTAATTTGATCATATCTTCATAACTATTCCAATTAGAACATTACTTTTTATACCAAATTAAACAATGGAATGCTCATTTAAAAAGCAATGAAAAAAAAAGTAATTTCAAATAAATACTAACATTATTTTTATTTTATTAGTAAAATAGCTTCCATTACAATTAAATTTATTTATGAGTGTTAACTTTTTCTTGAAACAAATTTTTAGAAATATTATAATTGAATTAGAATTTTTTTTGCATTTCTGTAAGTACATATATTTTATTATTCAATAAATATTTAGTTTGTCCTCTATTTGTATCAATATAGGTTTCAATTTGATTCTAATAACCTTGCTATTAATAATTATGCTATTTTCAAAATTATTTTACTATTTTCTAAATAAATTGAGAAATGGCTTGTAAAGTTTTTTCTTTTTTTTTTGTATTACCATCTTCTTAACATACTGATTCAAAACAATCCAAAGTTCTTATTATGATTTAAGATTTGGGAATAAAAATATTTAGAATTTTGGCATTCTTTATAAAAAAGATAATACTATGCTCCCCAAGCTAAGTGGTCATTACTAGTGCTTCGATCCATTTCTAGTCCATCCAGATGAATCCGGATGAATCCGGATTTTTTTTTCATCTGGATATCCAGTTTTGATCCAGATTTTGATCCGAATGAAAAATATCTGGATTCATCCGGAATCCGGATAGAAAAAAAAAATTTTTTCTAATATTTTTTATAGATTTTGTAATAAATAAATAGTCTATTAGTTTCGCAACTGATAAATAATTTTGTAATATACAAATTTTGTCATGAACAACGATAAATTGATGATTAGTACTGGTAAAAAAATGATTTATCCTACACATATCTTACACATATTGGGTACTCAAAATGTAGAAAATTATACACAAATAATACACATATCATACACATATCGGGTACTAATATATATATCATACGTATATCAGGTACCTGATAGGTATACTAGGACCCCGAGCAATATATATATAGGTAACAAGAAAGGTCAAAATTTTTATAATAGCTCTACGCAAGGTTTTTATTAAGATAAATAAGCAAACTCAACATGTGACTTCACAAATTGCCCAAAAATAAGCAATCTAACCA